CTTGTTAAATAATTTTCTCTTTTCCACTGAGAGAGGTGATATGTCTAAGCCATTCTCAGTCTAGGTCTTTTTGATTTTTTTGTTCTTTGTTTTTAATGACACTGTACCACTTACTTGATTGTTTGTTTTTCAAGACAGGGTTTCTCCATGTAACCCTGGAGTCTTGGGATTGGACTTGCTATGTAGACCAGGCTGGCCTTGAACTCACAGAGATTTGCCTGCCTTTTCCTCCTGAGTCCTGGAATTAAAGGTGTGTGCCACTACCTCCTGGCTACACTATACTTTTAAATTAATAAAAGCAATTATTTTCTTCTGTAGCAAGGTAGCTTTCTTGACTCTGCTGAGTCTAAGATGGAGAAAATGTGATACAGCCATTCTAATAAATACATGAAAAAATTAGCAATGTCCCAAAAATGGGTTGAGTCCCATGTAAGGGTACCACAGGACACAAGGTAGGTAATAAAGTTCCCAGAAGCCCCTTTTTTTGTACCTCCACACATGTCACTTACATAAAACTTAGAGGGACTTTATTTTTCTCCTCTTCCTGTTGAGCGTTTAAGAAGCAGTTGCTTTTATGGCTAAAGGGCATTTGCAGGATTGCAAAGGCTCAATTATTAACCTGAACATTTTCTCCGCAGTCTGAGGGCAACTGCTCATAAAAATAGTGCCAGGCTGTACAGGCAAGCATGCCTACTGCAAATACCATTAGTTTCTTCTCCTGAAGAGAAATCTGAAGCCTTTTAAAATAAACTCATATGCAAAATTCTGTCACATTTAAAGTAGAGGAGATCGAAGTAACATGAGTTTTTTTTTAAAAGTTATCTGTTTGTACTGATTTAAATGTGGTACATCAAGAAAGTAAAATACATATATTCCAGTAACAAGGACACCAGTGGACATCTGGTTGACCCAAAGCACTTCTTTTCTTTTAGGAGCTGTGTTTCTTCTTCCCGAATAAAAACTTTCTTTACCAACAGATTCTGTCAGCTCTGTGGAGAATTTCCAGGCTGTCACCTGTCCTTACTGAGATTTGTCCTGACTCTTCATTTTAATTTTTGACTGCCAGAGAACACAGACCTGATCCAGACCCCTAGACTGAAACAGACAGGAGATGCTCATGCAAGTACACGTGAGTCTTCAGGCTTCATTGGAGGGAATAGTATCACACACATTTTTCTAAATAGCATGTATTAAAAGCCTGATATCTTGATAATGCCATCTTGGAATGCTGTCTTATAGCCAGAACACATACCTTTTCATAACTATACTGAAGTGTAACCTTACAAGACTGGGTGATAATTAAATCACAATCCCACATCAGGAACTAGGATTTGAATGCCAGTTGTGCAATCTACTAAAATGAGTTACTCAACCTAAGCTACCTGATTTCTTTGTATAACATCACTGCATCTGCCTCTCAGAGTTCCTGGGGATGCCTTATGGGAAACAGCCTTGTGAAACGTAGTTAACTGACATCACTGTTAACTGATAATATTAAGAATAATGTTTGATGGTAGTTTAATTGATATCTTTCCTTTGGCTTCCTCCTGCATATGGTTACCAGAGAAGTAAGCCAAGGTGAAATTTTACCTATCACCAAGGGCATTATCTGACCTGACCCATAAAACTTGTTTAAAATTGTATATTACTTCTGGAGCTACAGAGAGATCTCTGTAGTAGGTCAAGTGTTTTCCTTGGAAGTACAAAGTCTGAGTTGACCCCCAAGTACCCATCTTCAAATAAGTTATTATATTGAATACTTCCTATCCCAGCATGTGGAGACAGAGACACAAGCAGAAACCTGATGTTTAGTGGCTGGCCAGGCTAGTCTATTTAGTGATTTCCAGACCAATGAGAGATATTCTGTCTCCAAAGGAAAATGGAGAACAACTGAAGAACTGCCATAAAAGTTGTCCTGTGTATCCATGCACACATACAGATTTGCACACACACACACACACACACACACACACACACACACACAAACTGAACATATACAGGTATTTTTGTAAAACACCATTTCAAGCCAACTGGGTACTATTCTTTTGGGCATAGGATGTCTTTATAAGCACAGCATGAATTCTTTTCAATCACTGAGCATTGAGTTACTACCTAGCAGGCACTTGGCCACTTCACAAAAGTCAAATCATTTAATCCTCAGAACTGCACTGTGAAGTAGATGGCATTATCACAACCTGTAGCTTAAAAAAGTGACGTTCACAAAGAGACTCCAGCAGCTACAAAGTGGCTAACTATACATGAACTAGGTCTGCCTGGCTGCTCTGCACAAGCCACTCATCTCTCCACTTCTAAACACTCTCCCTGGGATTGTAAGGCTCTACATTAGGAACAGCTGGACATAGTCTGTGGATTCTGAGGTTTAAAAATCTAATCACTATGAGTATGGTGTTCACAAATGCAGCTTAAAATACCAAGAATACAGTATCCCAAGATAAGAGTTCTAAATACACACAGTTTACTAAGATCTAGGCTGTTCTTAACCAAATAACCATTCATTAATAAAATATAATTACCACATCTTTAAAATTCATGTAATTTGTGTTTTGAGATATATTAAAATGAATGATTAGTGTAACTTAACCTTAATTTCTCCAGTTAACTATTTTTCTGAAACCTCTACTAAATAGAATTGACTTAAAACTCTAGTAACCCAAAGTAATAGTCTCGTTCTGTGTGTGTGTGTGTGTGTGTGTGAACCTGTGTGAATGCATGCATGTACATGTGTGTGAGCATATGTGTGTGAATGTCTACGTGTATTCATGTGTGTGCAAATGCATAAATGGCTGTGTGTATGCATATGTGTTTTGAAGGCATTGTGTTTGCATGTGTGTGTGCATGTGCATGAATACATATATGTGTGTATCTGTGTGTGAATGCATCTGTCTGTGCATGTGTGTGTGAATGTATGTGAATGCATGTGTGTGTACATGTATGTATGTGAATGCATGTGTGTATGAAGGAATGTATGTATATGTGTGTGTTTTGTGTATGAATATGTGTGAAAGTACAGAGGTCAACTTTATGTATGAGCTACACCTTACTATTTTTGGGACAGAGCCTCTCATTGACTTGGAGCTCAGCAGGTAGGCTAGACTAAATGGCTCTGCTTGGAGATTACCACACACAGGTATTTTTTTCTAATTTTGTTTCTGGGGGGTCAAACTTAGGCATTTGTGTTTGGATGGTTCTTTACTGGGCTGAGCAATGCTCCCAGGCTCCACAGCTTTCATGTACTAAAAAGGAAGTGGAGGATGCTGGGATGTTGGTATTGAAACAGAAAAGCAAGGAAACACTGCAATTAGTGGCTGGAGAATAAAGTCAAAGCCAGAACAAGTAAACTATAACACTAATTGAACGTAATTAAGCAACTCCTCACATACAGCCAAGTTTTTGTAACAGCTTGAAAGGTGCCCAGCACCATGCCCATTAGGAAGACTCCTTAGTAATTTGCTCTGGGAAGCTTCTCACATTGACCTCAGCATCATAGTCACAAAGATCTTTTCAGGGGGCACTGCAGCCCCCTGAGTTTGCTCTTCAGAAGGGAGTTAATGTTTTCTAGCATAATTTGGAGTTTAAATTTGCTACATGATAGGCAGTGATGTAAGCTATGGGATAAGATGTCAGCGTGTGCCCAGGACAACAAACAGTGTTTATTTTTCTGCTGCATTCATCGCTGTAGTAATTGATGAATACTGTTTCACCACACTGTCAAGATTCTACATGACTCATTGATTCTACTTGTCCCCATAGGCTACTGAAGCCTCAGTACAAATCAGACCTCTTTACAAAGTGACGTGGAAGACAGGACTGAGGGAAGCGTCAGACAGTACTCAGGCACACACTTTGGCTTCTCCACTCCCATGGTCCTAAACTAGCTGAAACCAGAGCTTGGTAATAAACATTTCCTGACTCGACTGAATCAGAAGATAAGCGGGAAGGACACAGAGATGTGGGAAGAGTGACAGTGTTGGGGGCAGTCCTTCTTTTGTCCACAGCCTAACCCATTTTTATCATATGTGAATATGTGAGAGAAGAGAGCTGGAAAGGTCTACTTTTTAGTCAACCACAAAGCAGAAATAGATTATGTTCACATTTTTACAGATTCTTAAATCGTATATGAAGAACCCTTATGTATCAATTAATCTAAAATACGTATTTTTGCCAAGATCTTTGCTTTGGACACCCTCATGACTTTTTAGCTCCATACAAGAAGAAATTGTCTAAATCCTTTAGGTTGTACCAAATAAATGCCATGCTTCCTATTTCCTTTCATTGAGCTATGCCCCCTTTCTAACTTCCTCGTTAATTACTCATTAAACCAAGGATTGATCTCCACCACTAGGTGTGAATATATATAACGTAGCTATCTTAACTCACATCAGGGAAAGAAGAAGGCAACTGGAAGAAAATGATGGAGGGGAGTAAAACAAAGGCGAGTACTATTGTCTTCCAAGAGCCTGCCCCTGGCTGAGAGGGGTAGCTCAGCCTTGCTCTGTCAAATCCTAGCTTGCAGAGTACAAAGTAAGTACAAGAATGAAGGTAAGGATGTATGAATTTCTCGTTTAAAATTTCTGTTATCCAAATGCACTCATTCTTGATAAAGTTATCAACTGGAAACATTCTTATTCATGAAACATTTTTGTCAGGGCTAATAAAATAACTGACCGGACCCTGTGTCTCTTGAGTTCTTGCAAGGGTACTAGTTGCCCGTGTCAAAATGGCAGGAAGCAAAGATTTTGTAGAAAATATTCATTCATTGTATTGCTATTTACTAATCTACAACGAAGTAAGTGAATTGAAGAGGAGTGGGAGGGGCTGAGCCACTCACTGGCTATGGGACTGAAGAACAATTGCATGTGCATAATTTCTACACATTATCACCCACCTCAAAGTTTAGACACGAAACATGGTTAGAAAAAGGGGAGCAGGGAAGTAGGTTGGTTTTCTTTGTACAAAGCAGACCACAGGCCATACTCTACCTCCGCCAACCACCACCGCTGTGGGCTCACAGGTGCAGATGCAGTGTAGGAGCGAATCGAAGCGAATGTTGGAGTTGAGGAACGCCACCACGCAGCCCAGCTTAGCCAGGCCAAACCACACATGAATGAAGTCGGGTTCATTGCTCATCAACAAAGCCACAACATCCCCCCTTTTCAGTGAGGAGTGGTCTAGGAAGGCATGGGCCACTCTGTTGCTTCTCTTGTCTACATCCTCATAGGTGTAGACATCTCCCTCATAAATGAGGAAGGCTTTCTGCGGTTGTCTCCTGGCGTGGCTCAGGAATTTATCCAGCACGGTGACGAGCTCCCCTCTCAGTTTGTATATCTCCATCTGAATTCCATAGCGCACCACCTTCAGCAGGAACCACAAATCGTCCCAGAAATACGGGAACAGAAGTTTCTGCAGGAAGTGCAGGAAGAGCAGTCCAGCCCCAAATCCTGTGAGCCAAGACAGAAGCATGAGCTCCCTGGCCACCAGCTGACCCAATGGGTCCACTCTCAGTGTCTTTCTTTTCCAAAGGCTTCACCTCTTTAACCCCGGAGAAACCTGTCCCAAAAGCTCCGGGCTGGCACTTGTAATTCTGGCTCAGGCTTTCTGTGTGTATCCTGCGAAAGAAATAAAAGTTTTTCACCCAAAAGGCTACTGAATGCTGACTGATAAGGCTTGGGACACTGGACAGGGCAGCTCTGAGTCTTCTTATAGAAAACAAAACAAAACAAACAAAAAACCTCACAAAACAAAGACCAAAACGAAATCACAGAACAACAACAGCAAACCCCCCCCCCCAAACCCGCTTGCATACACAGCTGGAAATGAGCCTTGCACAGCCCAGCGTTCCCACCCTTGCTGCTGACAGAGTGGGCTGGTTGCCGCAGACTCTGGGCTTCAAACTAAGACGATCTTTGTCACTTCTTGCTCTCCCTGTAAGAATTAAGCTATGCTAGGATGTACCTCCACAGACAGATGTGCCCTTTCGGCTGCCAGGATCTGGAGGCTGAATTGGATCTGTGGTGGCAGAGAAAAAGGCAGTGGTTTCCTGCTGGCGCTCACTCAGGGGCTCAGCCACGCCTCTCAGTCCCCAGGCAGACACAGCAGCCAGAGCCACCCTGGTCCAGTCACCCTCGCCCCGCCCACACCAGCTCGGTCTATGGGCCACAGCTCCAGCTGGAAGGAGCTGCTGGGCACAGAGGCTAGCGATCTTCTTCCCAGTGTCCTTGGAGCTGGGAGAGTCACCCTCCTGCCTCCCCCAGCCCTTGAGCCAGCATGGCAGAGACTTTCTGGACTCTGTCAGGCTGAGCAAATGGCCCTCCTCTTCCACGAGGGAATGTGGTGGCCTGCTAACGCTTTAAGCCGGGCCTCAGGCAGGGTGTCCCACAGTCTGGTGTAGAGTCACACAGCTACTGGCATTGGGTCAAGGGTGGTGAGGAGCCTCTGCGGAGACTGAAGAGGTGAAAGAATGACCTCCCCGTGGGGGGTCGTTAGTAGATTTAGCAAACTATTGATGGGATTAAAGGTAGAGGCTCCAAATAAACAAAACAAAACCTGCTGAAAACAAAAGAGAGGGGAGTGTGCATTTATGCATTAGTTAGGTTCCAAAAGGATTATTTTCTGAGAAAAGGAGGAATGCTTGAACCCATTCATGTAAAATGCCAGGGTGATCCAAACTCTGCTCCTCATGCTGGTTGGGCAAGCTCTTGACTCATCTCTCTAGCGTATTCATAAATCCTTCGCTAGCAGACACCGGCCGCCAGGCTCTTTGCTTTTAAATGCATGTACAATGCTAATTGCATGCTTAAATAATCACCAGTGCCTCATTATGTCTGTTTTTTCTTCCACCCATCAGCAGTCTTCTAGCTAACTGCAGATTCTTTAAGGAAAAAAAAAAGAAAAGGAAAAACAAAGCACAGAAGAAACAATAATAAAAGCCTTGATAAACCCAACACAAGCTGTACTTGCCCTGGTTAGTGTGAAGCCATGATCAAGACCCCTGAAATCATAAACTCCTGGGTCCTCCCATATAGATGAGGAGCATGTTTTTCTTCTTTCACATTAGGTAAATTTTTAAGTGTGTGGTTAAATAAGTGCTGGTCTGTCCATTGTAACACTATCCCTGGTGTGCCAATCACAAAACAAACAAACACAAACCAAAACAACAACAAAATGATTTAGTGTCTGAAGTCATAACCGTATTTTTTACAAGTTTGGAATGATGCCTGTCCTGCATTTTTTGGAAAAGGTATTGTAGGGATGAAGGGGGTAGCAGATGGGAGAGACATGAGAGCAGATGGGAGTTGAAGTTATCAGAACGCACAAAATGCATGAAATTTTCTAAGAGCAAATTCAGTAAGTTATTTTAAAACAATATTTTTTCAGTTAAGCTGTTTAAACGACTGTCCAAGTTCGAGAGATTACACAGATGTGCTTGGAGTGGAAAGGAAGCAGCTACATCAGAAGTTCTCAGCCTTCCTAATGCTGCCTCCTTTACTACAGTGCCTCATGCTGTGGTGACCCCCAACCATAAAGCTATTTTATTTATTTATTTATTTATTTATTTTTGGTTTTTACGAGACAGAGTTTCTCTGTATTGTTTTGAAGGCTGTCGGTCCAGCCCAGCCTCGAACTCACAGAGATCCGCCTGCCTCTGCCTCCCGAGTGCTGGGCTTAAAGGCGTGCGCCCCCACCGCCCGGCTCATAAAGTTATTTTTGCTGTTACTTCGCAGCAACAGTTTTGCTCCTATTATGAATAGATATGTAATGTTTCTAGAGACAGAGGTTTGCCAAAGGGGCCACAGGTTGAAAGCAAGTGATCTATATTAAAGAGTACATATTTTTTTTTAATGTGAAGAGAGAATTTTACTAAAGCTAAAACACAGAGGAACATTTAATTATATATTTTTACTTTGTGTGTTTACAGATGTACAAATTTTTATGAGTATGTATGTGCTTTCATGTACGTACATTTGCAAGTAGATGTGCATGCTGCCGTGTAACATTGGCTCTGGAGGAGGGCAGAGGTTGATGTCTGGCATCTTGATATATCATTCTCCATATTATTGTTTTATTGGTATTATAATGATGATGAGACAGACTCTCTCACTGACCCTAGTGGAGTGAGTAAGATTGGCTGGCCAACAAGCCTGGGGCAGGGGGTGGGCTCTATTCTCTGGTTCTCTAATGGGACTGCAAGCTTGTGCCACCTGGCCTGGCATTTTACATGAATGCTGGTGATCCAAACTCTGCTCCTCATGCTGGTTGGGCAAGCGCCTGACTCTTCTTTCTGGCTCTTACTCATAAATCCTTTGCTAGCAGACACCATCAGTCAGGCTCTTTGCTTTTAAATGCATGTACAATGCTAATTGCATGCTTAAATAATCACCAGTGCCTCATTATGTCTGTTTTTTCTTCCACCCATCAGTGAACTTCTAGCTAACTTCAGATTCTTTAAGAAAAAAAAAGAAAAGGAAACACAAAGCACAGAAGAAACAATAACAAAACCCTTGATAAACCCAATACAAGCTGTACTTGCCCTGGTTAGTGTGAAGCCATGATCAAGATGCCTGAAATCATAGACTCGTAGGTCCTCCCATGTAGATGAGGAGAATGTTTTATAACTTGATGTTCAAGATCTCAGCTTTTCAATTCAGAGAAATCTTTTCGGGTAAGAAGGAAAGGCTGTAACAACCAACATGTCTGACATGGCATCATTGCCCCCTTGGCTCGGTGACTCAGTCACATCCTGGAAAATTACCGTTAGGCTCAAAATTAATACAGAGCAGATAGTGTCTCAGGTGGTTGACTCCCTGATATGAGTAAATATGCTCTCCTCCCACAGGGCATCATGTATATTAAGGATTTGTATGCCTCTAAAAATGAAGGGCTGCACCTTCTCAGTTGATCCCCCAGGAAACAGTCCTGCAGAAGCCTTGGGTCTCTGTGGATCATGCATGGAGAAGGAAACATGATGGGCTAGAGCCTCGACAATGTTCTGCCCAGCTCACCTGTTTCTCATCTCTAATGATGGATGACTGGCCAATATTCACATCTAGGTTTCAGCCACAGTCACATTTCCTGTAGTCCTCCCATTTTGAGCTTGACAACAATACTATGCCAGGCACAGGCACAGGACTTACCCAAAAGACAAGTAAAATGCCACCCAATGCCACCACAGGAGGCAGTTTGCCACTCAGAGCAAATGTTCATGGAGAGTTTAGATCCTACCCTTCCATAGAAGCAAGGAGACATGGGTAATGTCTTCCTTCATGATGACATTCCAAAGGGGAGAATAGAATTGAAAATACTGACTACAGAACTCACTCACTTCATAATCCCACTCAGGAGTTTTACAATATTTAATGACTGTATTTAGACTGTGATACCAACTTGGGTGGAAGACTTACCTTTCTTATAATCCAATGTTTATTTGCATTCATGAGTAATTATTGCCCAGAACATTTTCCCCCACAAAGGCTCATGAAACAAACAACATTAAAGCCAAAGAGAGCTGTTAGAAAGTTGGGGGCTATTATCATTGCTACGTGTCTTAGACACATCAAACACATCTCAAACATTAAAAAATTTATAGTACCAACTAAACCACCCCATAATAATAGTTCTGGAAGCAACTCCCAAACAAATTAAATATTTAACTATCAATTTACTACTCATTGAAAATGTACCTAGAAATTTCTGCATGTCAAAGCCCTAACAAGACACTCCGCACATTTATTTTATTGATGGCATTTCTTAGATCCAGATACTTCTATGACAAATTTCCCTTCCTCATTATTGGTGAAATTGACATACTAGAAAAGATATTATGTAATGTTTTATTATTGACTGAGAACTCAAGGAAGTTTCATTAGTGCTTCTTATGAACCATGTGAAATACCACTAAAAATATAGTTTAAGATTTATTTTTGTTTTTGAGATATGAAAATCAACCCAAGATTAGAAAAAAATCCTTAACTTTGTAGTTCCTGTCACAACTTCCTTTGCCTTTTCCCAATATTTTTAAGAGAACAAGCTAGGATTTTCTACCATTATGCAGGCTATCTGATAATTTTCTTTGCTCTATAGAAACTTTTTAAATTTAATTTAGTTCACTTTGTTATTTCTTGGAGATATCACCTGTGCTGTTGGAATGCTGTTTTCTTCTAGTAGTTCCATCATTTCAGCTTTTAAATTAAAGCCTTTGATCCACTTTGAATTGATTCAGTAGAATGAATAACATGAATCTAGTTTTATTTTTTCAATATATCCAGTTTTATCAGCACCATTTGTTGAACAGACTGGTTTTTATTCCCAGTATAGTTTTAGATATATCCCTATCAAAAATCAGATGTCTTTAGTTGTATTATTCCTTCATATTTTGTTTACTGGCCTACATTAATGTTTTTATGCTAATATAATGCTGACTTTGTCCCTATGGCTCTATAGCATAATTTGAGATCAGGTATTGTGATGCATCAGTCACCGTTCTTTCTGCTTAAGATTACTTTGGCTACTTCAGTTAGAGTGTTAATATCTATCATAGGCCATTAAAACCCTGACAATCAATAAATGAACCATTTAACTGAACAGAAAGCCCTCAAAAGAAAACATACAAATTGCCAATAAGAATTTTTAAGTATTCAGCATCCAAAGCTATCACACAATTAACTGGTTTGACATTTCATCTTACACATTAGAATGGCTACCATCAAGGAAGAAGACACGGAAATGCCTGCAAAGATGAAAGAATGAAAAGAAAAATATTTTTACTTGCTGCTGGTAGGGTATGACTAGTGCCTCAATATGGAATCAGTGTGAGTGTTTCTCAAAACATTAAAAGTAGAACTACTATGTGACCCAGTTACACTACACTTGGGCATATATCCAAAGGATGCTGTAGCCAGCTTCTACCAGAGACACATGCACATTCATATTTATTTCTGCTCTTTTCAGAATAGCAAAGAAACAGAATCAGCTTAGCTGTTCATCAGCAAATTAATGGATGATGAAAACTTGGTATATACAGATAGTGGGATTTTTTCAACTGTAAAGAAAAATGAAATGTTAATTTTAAAAAATGGATGAATCTAGAAAGTATTATATTAAAGTAGATAACCCCCAACTCAAAAAGGCAAATACCACATGTTCCT